TATGTAAAAATTTACTTGCAAATGATGTTGCCGCCCGTAAAGCCAACTTAAAGTTTTGTTTACCGCATTAAAAAAAATTGAATTACACTTACAACTTTATTCTTATTTATTAACTAAGAAATTCCTGGAGATTACTTTTATTGGTATCAATAACACAGCAAAAAAAAAGTTTTATTTTTTCACACCCAGGGGGCGCTGCAGCCTTTTTTCTTTAAAAACTATATAGCATTTCAGATAATATAGTTATGTATTCCTTTATTATAAAGAGTTACGTATTCCTTTATTTATTTAATAGGTTTGTTCTTTATTTTATTTATTATGTTTTTCTTTATTATTATTATTGATATTACTATTTCTTTATTATTTAACATATAACAATTTATCTGCAAGATTTGCATATATTAAATAATAAAAATATATCCTAATAATTATTATAATAATAATTATTATTACCTTTACCTTAAATTTTAAACTTGTTCGGCTCTAAGGGGTATATTCGCTAACTTTTTAGTTATAAATAACCCTGGTTTATATCATACCGGCTGGTTCAAATCTCTAGAGCGATTCTCAGAATCAGTCTAGAGATTTTAACCAGGGTTATTTATAACTTAAAAGTTACTTAGGCCGCAAAGGAACTACTTTAAAACTGATAAAACTTCAAAAAAAGTTCATCCGCTTCTGGGCTAATTTCTTCAATTTCTTCCGGCAAATTTTTTAATTTTCTTTTTCTATTTTACTTAACCTTCTATCTGACGATAATCTTGATAATAAGCCGCGTATCTGATTAGGATGCATATACTCGTTTGAAGAAAAATAAAATTTGCTATTTACTTCATAATTTTGTAAAGCTGTTGCTATATTATATTCAAGCGTATATTTAATTTTAGTTTTTTCACCTTCTTCAAAAAGGTTGCCAACAAAATCTTTTTGTTTTTCATTAAAACGTGATTTTTTAATTTTGCGCCTTCCGAACCCTTTTGCATATATGTTTATAAACTCGAAAAAACGTATTTTTATCTTCTTCATTTGGGCATATATTAACGGTAGATATTGTTGAACTAGTTGCAGTTTTTGTTTTAAAAATTCCATTCTAGCAACATAACCTATAGTTTGTCTAATTTCAGGAAATTTATGATTTTGAAATTTAAGGTGGTTTAGAAGATCATCTTCATTTTCAAAAACCCTACTGCAAAGTAATTCGTCGCACCTATATTTAATTGCTTTTAAATTATTTAGATTTTCCTTTTGTCGACTCGATGATGTCCAAGGAACTTTCATGTTTACTCCAGAAGAAAATTCAATTCCTAGAATTTTGATTTATTAAAGAAAATTTATTAACTTTGCGTACCTTTAAAAGCATGATATTTTCCCTCTCCAATTTCAACTTTTGTAACAACGGCAAAATTTTAAATGTTATTATGGTTACCGTTTGACAGTAACTATCAACTGTTGGGGTAACTTGATTTCCAGCCTATAGGCTTGACTTTAGTTTAATTTTAAAGTAATATAATAAAGAATGCTTTGCCTTTCGAAATATACTAAAATATATTTAAACAAATGGTCATATTACTATTACTATAGAGTCACTGAAATACTTGTTACCATTTGTAATTAAAATTTCTTTGGTTTTGTTACCTTTTGTCCGCATACAACAATAAAAGCGAAAAAAGGCGTTTATATAACAACACTACTTACTATAGTACGTGCACTAGTGCATATTGTTATACCCGCATGCGGGTACGTGCACTAGTTATAATTTTAATCGTCCCTACAACAGGCATTAATTATTGCAAATAAATTTTTATATGTCAAACAATAAAAGAATATCTATATTATCGGATACATTATAAATAATGTCATTAGTTTTTTAAGCAATGTTGCTTAAGTAACTTTATGGTCTCTATTTTTGAAAAAAAGGCTGCAGCGCCCCCTGTATATAAAAAAATAAAACTTTTTTTTGTTGCGTTTTAGTTACCAATAAAAGCCATCACCTGGAGTTCCTTAGTTTATAAATAAGGATAGAGTTGAAAGTGTAATTCAATTTTTTTTAATGCGGTAGACCAAACTTTAAGTTGGCTTTACTGGCGGCAACATCATTTGCAAGTAAATTTTTATATGTCGAATTATAAAGGAATATCTATATTATCTGGTACGCTATTTAGTTTTTTTGAGCATTGTTGCTTAAGAGAATTTTTTGTCTTCAAAAAACGTCTACTTTCGAAGAAAAAAAAATTGCAGCGCCACCTGTATGTAAAAAATTAAAACTTTTTTTGACAGAATTGTAGGTACTAATATGGGTCATACATGGGCCAAATTTCAAATCATTCAGTATTTTAATAAAAAATGTATGCCAAAATAATGGAATTTGGCCTTTTTGTGAAAGGCAAAATTAAATGGTTTCTAGGAACTAAAGTTTAAGTCAGATTAAAGAAAAATTTTAGATTTAGTGTTAAATTGGATTTATAAACAAAATATTAAAATTAAAAAAAAATCTCAGATGTGTTGTAAATCGATCGTTCGATTCTTTCGCGAAATCATAGTTAAGGTCTTGACATGGATTATTTAAAACTCATTTTCATACAATTGAAATAGAGGATAACCTCTCTGTGAATGTGAAGAGGAATAAAATATATCTCACATGATTCTGGAATAAACAAAATCTCTGGAAGAGACATTTACTTTGAACTGGCAAAAACATTATATAAATCTCCCAGCCAGCATATTTTTAATACTTAAAAACTCAAACAAAAGAAACTTAAAAATTATACTTAATCACTTTAAAATAAACAAAATCAAAATTAAATTAGGTATATATTTTTTAGATCCATACAAAATCATATCCTGGGATCCAATATAATAAGCTGGTCAAAAAGCTTTTAACTAAGCTAAAGGCCATCCCCCTGAAAATGTCTTCAGATCGAAAAAGAAGACGAAGAAAATTGACTTTAAATTCCTTGCGGTAATTAAAATATTGTGTGCACAATATACTATTAATATTCTCCATATTTATTTTAAATATAAATAACAAATAATCTTTTTTCCCATTTAATCCTAAACATATTTTAAAATAGCTATCAGTTTTTATAAAAAGCATCAACTTTAACAAAGTTAAACTTAATTAATATTTTTATTTAAAGTTAATAGTTTCGTCATCTTATCGCCTATTTGGGTCTCTAAATTTTTAGTACTATATCGATCATATCTACATGTTTACAGAGCGAGTGCATCTAAAATACATTTACAGAATCATCTTTAAAAGTAAATTAACTTAATAATTACGCATAAATTTAGTCCTCCTGAATGAATAAATATGATGCGTCAGCTGTAAACACCAAAAATAAAAATAAGGTTTCAAATTCTTTAAAAAATGAACATACAAAAGGACATAACAAAGGAATTAATTTTACAACCGTATAAAAAGTCTAAACATAATTTTTAGTTTTACCAATAGAAATTCTACACTCTAAGAAAATTTATTGTAATCTCTAACAATATAGATTTGTTATGCAAAATATGGTTCATTTAATTATAACTTATGGTTGTAATAACAATATACATAAAATTAGTTTTGTTATATGTACTCTAATCATTTTGTTATAAAAATTTAGTAAAGTTAGATATTTGATTAGGCTATTACAACCATCATGTACGGCTAAACTGTTAGTACTACACTAGATGGTTAAAATTATAAGATTATCTGGTTACAATAACAATATAATGTTGTCACACATTATTAACAATATTTCGTTGTAGTTTTTACTATACAGAAAGTTTATACATATCATACGTATAGTATATTTAACCATATAGAGGGTTATAAGGTATTTGCATATGATTATTATAACTAAATAAATTATTGTTTTGTGCAACAACAAAAATATAGTTAAAGTGACAATAAAACTGTTACAATATAAACATGGTTAACATAACAGTAAATATGGCTGTGCCTATACTAATCAGAATATTTAGTAAAAGTTACTATATATTTGATTAAGATAACCATTGTTTTTTCTCAGTGTACTAGCCACTGTGCTTTGTTATAGGTGTGTTCCTTACAAGGTACCGACAGAAAGACTGTTTCGTTCTGTGGGATCTCATCAGTGGCGGGTAGCCGTATGGTGTGAAACACATCTGTAAACAACCCATCGGCCGCTTTATATACAGGCCTATAGGCGGCAGGATAAACGACAGCGGTAGCATAATAAACGAAAGTTATCAGCACCAGGACGTGGCAAATGACGAGATTCCAAAATTGTGTACTTTAAATAAATTATACGTTAATATAAATGATTTAAGTTTTAGTTAATTTCAAAACAATTGTATTAAATAATTAAACATTTTTTTACAATATGGTTGTAAATTTTTTTTTTTTCATGTAGTATTAAGTTTAAACACCTTGTTTAATAGACAATCCATACCATATTAATAAAAACTCTATAATTATAAAGTAAGTTATTTTTTTTACATTTTCAATTAATTAACAAAAATGTTAACGCACCTTCTTTGTAACACTTGTTCTTTCAACTTTGACCGACTGCCTGACTTAATTTTCTTTAATGCTTTAAGGTATACTATACATATTAATGCGAAGGTACGTCTTAATTATTGTTCATGAAAAATTCGCTTTTGCAGCTTAGCACTTTAGATCGTGAAAAATTGCAATTTAAAAACATTAAAATGATACCAAAGCTTTTTTTATTGAATGCATTACGTATTAGAAAGTACTTTCTGTAGGTTGTACTAAATCTTTCAGATTATGGTAGTAGGTACGTATTAAAAAATCGAATGTGGTAAATGGACGTAATCCCGTTAAATTAGCATTTAAATACATACTTTAAACGGATGTAAAAATTTTACTTTTTAAATCTTTGTAAATTAAATTATTGATTGTGTATGCCATTAAAAAAAAGAAATCAAATTCTAACATATTAACGGAAATTGATAAAGCCTAAACCCTATAATTAACCCGAATTAAATTTAAACTGGGTCATTTTTTTTACCTGAAACAATAAATATCCATTTTCGTACATCCAAAAGTCTCCAGGATCTCCTCGACATCCTTCTTTTCTTACCACTATCGCCAAACTTTGATTCAGTTTTACGCGGCAGTTGTAGCCGCCATCCACACCAGAATGGCTGGAATTCATTTTCAGGTGATCATCCTAAAAATAACAATTTTTAATAAACGTAGTAATTCTATTTCTATATATTTTTATATGCAGTGGTTTTTCAGTAAAAGTTTAAAGTTGCTTACACTGAAAGAAATTTGTTGCTAAAAGTAAATACAAATTTATACTAAAAATTTTATACTAGTGCTTTACACATTTATACTACTGTTTATTATGAATGTATGGTAAATTTTGTAATACATTTATTGTAAAGAAGATATGTTAGATCTAAATAAAAATAAACTTACCCTTACTATAAAATGTAAACTATAAGTGAATTACAGCAAAAAAATATTGCTAGAAACACCATTTATATTGCTAGGGCAGCAATAGGCTGCTAACCAAACGAATATATTTGTTTTAGCAATGTATGTGGTAGTCTATATATGAAACATAAAATATATTTGCCCTAATTATTTTTTTATTTAACTTTAGTATATATTTCTTTCAGTGTAGTTTGGGCGCTATACTGCCCTGCAATTTAATTTTTTTTGTTAAAATAAATTTAAAATTGCTTAAGCGATTTTGCCAAAATTTGGTACGTTGACATTAAAACAATATCTGGTGTAATTTTTAATTATAATAAAAATAACTTATTTGCTACAAAAAGGGACTATTGGTAAATTTTAGTAATTTAAGGGCCGTATAGCGCCTAAAGTTACTATATAAGTTTACTTAAATCAACTTATTTTGGTACAAGGAATATGTGGTAGGTTTTGTAATGACCTTTAACAGGTTTATTATATTATGTATATTTATTTAAATTGTCATAAATAACATAATAATCCATTTTAGTGTATGTTCTTTGCGGTGGTGTTATGCGCAGCTAGACAAGTAAGGAAGGAAGAGATTGGGTTATACTTCTGCACTTCCCGCATGCAGCAGTAAGGCATTTATATATTTATAATTCTGGAGTGCGTTCGAAATAAGAATGTATTTTGTATATGGTATAAGGATAGGTATATAATCACGCGGAGCATATACCTATAAACTTTATGTTGTAGTGTTCTAAAACCAATTGGTTTTGCTTGGTATTTGACTGAATTCATATAAATAGTAGAGTTTATGTGATAGTTTTTTGTTTGTTTTTTAGAGTTGATATTTTTTAAATAATTTATTTTAAATAAAATCTTTTTTTAAGGTTTTAATTCAAATTATTGTTTGATGTACCCTATGGGCATGACGGGTAAAGCCTAACCAAGTCTAAAGCACAGTTAAAAGGTATATATCTAGGTATATACCAGGGAAATCAAACGCGCAAGGTAAACTTGGAGTGTGTCCAGAGTGCACTCTTGCGAGTTTTTAAACGCGCTCCTGGGTTGCGCCCGATAGGTGGCCCGATATTTAGTCCCATGATGGGAAGAATTTTAACATTTGTATAAAAAATACTCAATCTTAAGCATAGTGTATATTTTATTTAAGGGTACTTGCATTTAAAATAATATGATAGTTTTTCTTGAAATAAGAATAAGTTTACCCTTGCACCTAACATTGAAATTATATCCAAATAAGTATAGGTTAGTTATTGCATTCAACTCACTATATCCTTCAAATAAGTAATTTAAATTACAAGTAAGAATAAATCAATCCTTAAATAAAAAGTATCTATACTTGCGAAATGGTGGGATGAACATATACTTGGACTGAGATGATTAATCTGTAATATAGAATAGGTTTTTTCCGTGTATCCAACCCAATAAGTTGTTTTTTGTGTAAAAAAAATTAAATTTTTATAATTTTGTTTAACGAATTTAAATTTTTAAATTTGTTTATAAAAAGGTTTCTATACTTTATATAAATAAGCAATATTAAAGCGTTTTAACTTAAACAATTACTAAATTTGTTTGTTAATTTATTTCATTTAATTTTGAAAAAAACAATATTTATTCGACATTTTAAACATCCTGTTGTTTAAATCCCAAACTTAGGTAATACGTGATTGCTTTTTGTTTGAGAATTAAAAAAGATGCTTTTCTTTGAAAAATCAAAAATATAAATTAAGTCAATCCTGAAAAAACTAAACAAAAATCAACTTTATAATTTTTGCATTCAGACGTTTTAATTACAAACAAATTTTTCTTATAACAATAATTTCAAAAAAAATTAATCGATTTAATATTTTCCTAATTTTTTTATATCAATGTTATTTTTTTAACCATCAAACATTTCTGCCAAGAATAACTTTTTTTCTAAAAACCAAGCAAGCCTATCCAAATTCTCTAACAACGTTTTGGATGACTTCCGCACTAAAAAACCGACATTCTTCACGAATTTGATTTTTCAAGTCTTCTAAATTTTGTGGTCTGTTGATTTAAGGTAGCCCCATAAGAAATAATCGAAAGGGGTGAGATCTGGAGATCTCGCTGGCCACTCTATCGGTCCCATAACTCTTTGATAAAATAACTTTTTACATCCGCTGCTGAAGTTCTGTTACTTAAACATGATCACCATGTATATATTAAATAAATTTATAAATTTATTTTTTAAAGTTATAATTTTTCTCTATAGGTACTTTTTTATTCTTCAAACAAAAAAGTTATACACATTTTTTTAACAGTATTTTCTGATCCCCTGGCAGTGATCTTGACCTCCCACATTCAGTAATGACTAAAGTAAACACACAGAAAGGAATGACTATAACTGTGACATTTTGTGAGTGAAAATTTTCAAAGATACTATTTTTGATAAAAAAAACACCTTGTAATAGAACAATGCATTTTTTACTTCGCAATTAGATTATTTCGTCTACTGTGAAACAGTCAGAAAGGTTGTTGACATTCAAAGATATAAATGATAAACTCTTTGTTCTCAGTTTAATTGCAAGCGTCATACTTTTATAAATAAACACTTCAGCATTTAAAGAAAAGTTCAAATATACTTCAATGGCATTTATTATTACTTATTATCGTTTACCTGACAAGCTTATTATACAATTATCTGCAAAACAAGTGGTTTCTTCAGGGCGTCATTTATTTATAAATTGTTAAAACACATCGTGTGAACTGTTGCTAAACTAATGTAAATACATTTATATAATTAAAACCTTTCAATGAATTTACTTAAAACTACTTATTTAAATGTTTGCTTGCGCCTAAAGATTTCTTTTGCTCTTCAGAATAATATTTGCTTAGCAAATATATATGCAGAATATATTCGTTAAGATAAAATAATGTTATGCAAAAACATGTTATTTTTCAAGGAAATATTCTAACTTTCTCAAACAGTCTATATTTGTTCCTTGAAGGCACTACTTTGCAATGCAGATAATGAATATCAAATAAACAACATCATACACCATTATGTTAAGCAAATATAAAATTATGTAAAAGTTAACAGGCACCACGTAGGAAAAATAAATTATTAAAATTAGTGAATAGACATGTTAATTAAGTTTAACCCATACATACACCTTTGTTAGAGCGTTTATCACATTAAAATTTACAAATACAAAAATACCCTAAAAAACTAAAAGCAATAGCGGAATTCCAACTACGGATTTTGATTCAGCTAACCAAAATCCATAGGATGCGATTACTTTGGTCCGTTGGACATCCTACTTTTCTTTTTTTGTTGGGCTGTAAAATTTCTTGTGCTATTTTTTTTTACCTGGTGGTCGACACAAAGATGCGTGCGTCGTAGACATGCTTCCGTACATGCTTGTAGTAACGATAAGGGTCTTAGAATTATTTCTTGCTATCAGTATTTACCTGGTTTTTAAACACTAAACTTTTTATTCACCTCATAAGAGAAAATACAAAGGTTTTAGATCCGGCAATCTTGCCAGCCAAGCGGTCCTCCACGACCGATCCACTGGTTAAAAACTTTACGCCTTAAAGAAGGCGGCGCCCCATCGTCAAATAACCACGTTTTGCGTATTACATTTTCAGCACAACATGTTGCAACAGAAAGAATATCTTGCAAAAATGGAGGTAGGTAGTCGTCAGTTTAAACGGTATGGTAAAATAAATGTTCCAATTAAAATGCCATTTACAATATCTGCCCACACATTATCGGAAAAACGATCTTAAAAATTAGTTCTTTGTACAGCTCTTGATTTTAGGATTCTCTACAGCCCAGACATGTGTGTTTCAGAGATTATTAATTTTATTGCTAGTAAATATGGCTTCATCCATCACCAAAATTCATCTTAAAAATTAATATTTTTGTCATTTTGCTCAAAAAGCCAGTTGCAAAAAGTGGAAAATCCATTCTTTTTTGAACCCTTTGAACTTGGACTTTAAGAAACTTTCAAGAAACTTTCTTGACCTTCTTGAAACCCACCCAAAACAAAGGACTACCTGAGTTTATATACTGCTTTGGCCAACAGAGGCTAGATGTAAGAACATCACGTTATCCACACCGTCTAACGTCGTGGCCTTTGCCGCAATCGGTACATACTATGCAACCAAGACTGCACACGGCAAATTGTATCGCAGATACCAATATGGACTAAAGGAATCTAGAATTAGCCCAACCGGGCTAAATATTAAGGTAAACATTCAATTTTCCTACTTTCTTCAAGAAACTTTCTTGACCCATTACTGGTAAATTACTGGTAATATTCATAAGAAAGAATTGAACCTACACCTCGCCAAAGTTTTTTGTCTATCATTATGCACTAAATCCAGAATGTGTTTCTCCCACTGAACATTTCTATAAAGTATTTCGGTCGTCCTGCGTGTCCTCGACGATGCTTTCGTAAACTACTAGTTTCCCCTAGCCCTTTGAACAGCATTTAAAAATGCCTGAGGGCGCGGCATTTTAATGACACCCTCCGTGAATTACTAACATGTTCATTATTATTCTTAATTCTTTATAGTATATTATGTATCAAGTTTGATAAACGCCATTTTATACGAATTTAATTTAGGCTTAAATTAATGAGTGTATAGAAAAGTTTATAAACAAGGTGCATACTATACTTTTTCTACAACAAACACTTATTATTATCTTAAAATGATTTAAATCAAAAATTTGTATAGAGCGCCATCTAT